ATTATACTATTAGTATTATTATTATTAATTGCCAGACAAAATAACGTAATATAATATAGGAGAGGGCAAATGGCCTACTACTCCTTTTTCTCTCTATTCTTCTTCTTGTTTGACATTCCTAAATTCAACTAAAGACTTGCCCTTGCGTCCTGTTTACCTACAATACATGTGCAAATGCATATTAATTATATCTGAAGTTGTGATCACCACGAAACCGGTAGAAAAGAATCTTTGATAAAACTTTATCAAACCAACATTTTTAAGTGCAATGTGCAAACTAAAAGAAAAGAGAAATTTTAATCCAATTCGTGTTTTTATTCTATAAGTTTATCACTAACCAATCAGAGGCAGGAATGTATCGCAACAAGATTTGTGTTTAGACATGGCGGACAACGTAGCTTTCTATCGGAAATAGCGGTACCTGCAGAATGGCCGGTCAACGCTGCTTTTTTGTGGTTGTTTCCTTCTTCTTTCTTATGGAATTTTGTTGTGGACAGAATCCAGGTAAATGAAAAAAGCATTTTCTAGACCACATGTCCTTGTTCTGTTGTTGATGGAGGTGTTTTATGGTATTCCGGGATAGCAAAGTCGAAGCAAAGACTAGATTCTAGATGAAAGGAGTGTGTTTTCATTCTTGTTGCTCGAAAGAATAACATTTTTGAGTACGAAATACTTCACTACCCTTAGAATTCGAGGCTTCCGTCTAGCTCTCTAGCTTTGGTGTGTATAACTTGATTCTAGATCTAGAGATCTAGTCCTGAAAGTTGTTGGTTCTTTGGGTAATAAGAGTCAGCTGTTGTTCAGACAAAACAAATTTTAAAAATAAAAAACTGATCAAGTTCAGACATGATGTGTATTGAAATTGAAATGGACTGAACACACCTTATTTATTTATAGATCTAATATGGTTGTATTTGTCCAAAAAATTTCATTTTCAAATTGCAAACTGCTTTTTACTCAACAAGCTGCAGAATAAAATTCGGCGCTTTTTCGGTAGTTCCCACCCCGCATTTGTTATTTGCCGGTTTTGGCCCTAAGAGTAGGGGGGTTTCAGGGGGGCTTGC